AGACGCCACGGTTTGGGGGTTTAGGGTTTTAGGGTTTAGGGTCCTGAGACCTAAGTTTGGGAGCTAGGATTAGGGGGACCCTTGGGGATATAGACCCTCTCAATAAGGTCCCTTTCAAGAGAGCCAAAAGTAGGGTTCAGAAGGGGTACCCTTTAAGGGGTACCCCTAATAATACTACTTAAATTTCCTAAACCCTAAACCCTAAACCCTGAACCCTAAACCCTAAACCACCCTAAAACATCATACTACTTAAATTTCCTTAACCAGAACCCCAGATTCATCCTCGGCTCTGCATCTCAGTGCCGCGGTCCTTGTGCCGCTGACGACCCTGGTCTTCCCCGCTGTGGCCATGGGCATGTTCGCGAGGGGCCCGGGCTATGGTTTAGGGTTTAGGGTTTNNGGTTTAGGGTTTATGCTGTCCATGCTCTTCGATTCGAATGGACTCATCATCGTCCACATCCCCATTCTCATCGTCATCCTTGTCGTCCTCATTATCGTTGTCGCTACCGTCATCATCATCATCGTCATGGTCATCATTTTGCAGGGTTTGGGGGGAACATCGTGGTCATGCAGGGCTTATGGTTTGCGGTTTAAATTCGAGACCGGTCTGCGCCCCGCGCTTCTCCTACGATGAGGTTTCCTGACCTTCGAAGCACCAAGCTTAGGGTTGAGGGTTAGTACTTACCGTTATATAAGTCCTTTGATTGGGCGTGTATAAGTAAGTATCCGTATACTGTCTTCCACCAGGGTCTCAGTAATTTCTGGGCTGGGGTTCATATACACCGTCCAAGCTGCACGTGCACAGTCCTCAGACTTGACCCCGTGGCAGTTCCGACGGTCCAGTAGCAACACCCGGGTTTAGGGTTTGAGGGTTTAGGGTCCTAAATGATGACGGTTCCTTATGATAATTATATACAATGGGCCCCAAAAACCTATTCTACATTGTTAAGGTCCCTATGTTACCTAAACCCTAAACCCTAAACCCTGGGAACAAGCCATAAAGAAGCCTGACGGTGAAGCTGAAGCAGATCCGAAGGTCGAGTTGCGAAGAACTCTGAGAACCTAGGCTTACAGGGTGTAGGGCCGCGAAGCTAAAACCCGAACACCTTACATGGATTGGGGTTTAGGGTTTAGGGTTTAGGGTGGAACACTTGAAACCCAAACCTTACAAGCATAACTACAAGAGATGCAGCAGATCTAGTACGGACTCATCCTTTCCTTCTCTCCGGCTTAGGTGCTGTATTCCTTCCAGGAGGCAAGCTGAGAAGGGGAGTGGGTGCTAATGTTGGGTCTTGGGCTGGGGGTTCAGAGTTTGCTCCGTTGCCATGTCAATGTGTGCTCAAAGGGCTTTTGTCACATGTTTGGGTGCCCGTGAGAGTTTTGTGGGCCCTTTGGCGGTGTCCGAATCTTCAAACCCTGAACCCTAAACCTCACCTCTCACTGAGTGACTGCACTTGATTGAACAGGAGGAAAAAGCTGTTAAGCAAACAGTCCGCAAACCTAGTAAGTTGATAGAAGCCAAAATTTGACCAGACGGAGGCCCAAGCC